AGTATGGGGAAACCAGACTGCAGTGAAGTTGAACCTCGACTAAAACTAAGACTAAGACCTTTCTTGCTTTCTAAACAATGGTGTTCCATTGTGTTATATGAAGGCATGGGGATCAAACCCCATGGCGATAGTGAGTGTGACAAGCAAGAGAAGCTCACGTTGAGAAGAATTATCCTCTCCACAGCCTAAAGCCATGACAGTATTGTATGAATCAGGTGTTGCCCATTTATAATTATACCCAATCGTCCTGCTTTTAACTCCAAAGGAAAAATAATACTAAAACGTTTGGAAGAAAGCAATATGCAGAAGCTGCTGAATTAAAAGAAGAGTGTCAAGCTGTCCCACTATTGGAGCATCCCTCTTAGAACAGCTGCCAACAAAGAATAAGAACCTAATGTGCACTGCCATTATATTTGTTTGTTCATTGACTTAAAATTTTGTACTACACTTTCATTGTTTTAAAAATCAACAAAAAAACTGTCTGCAATCAAATCGATTGCAGCTTGCTCCGAACATCGCAAAATAAAACAATATATAGTATAAAACACAAAATCTATGTGTCTGCCTGTATATTTTCGGTCAGCTAACAACTCCTTCCAAACCAGGACCAGGCAATGACTTAATTTTGCAGATATAATTCTGATTGAAATGTCGAGTTTAATGCTACTTACGACATTATGCAAAAACATCTGAAAGATAACAAAGAAATGCATAAATGCATACATGGATTATACGGATAAAGATTCGACCTCACAACATTTGGGACAAGCTCCGTCTCCCTCTTCGACAGCCAGCGAAATAGATAGATAGATAGATAGATAGATAGATAGATAGATAGATAGATAGATAGATAGATAGATAGATAGATAGATAGATAGATAGATAGATAGATAGATAGATAGATAGATAGATAGATAGATAGATAGATAGATAGATAGATAGATAGATAGATAGATAGATAGATAGATAGATATCAGATAGATAGAAGCAGACTGATTAAATGACAAAAACAGTCTGGAAAGACGTCAGAGATAGGGACAGAGAGACGGAGGGGGGAAAGAGAGGGTAAGAGAGAGGGACAGAAAGAGAGAAAGATAGAAAAGCACACTTAATAAAATTGTAACATTGTACAAATGAAATCTAAATGCACCATTATTCAAAGTCACACAAGACTGACGGAACAGTTAACTACAAGCGCCACTACGGCACTGTATAAAAATCATTACTTCCCATCTGTATGCGAACCATTTCAGAATGGGGCCAGTGATTTACAAACGATGCCAATCTTCAAGATGGTTCGCCATTCGCATGCGTCAAGTACAATATTCAAACCATATATGGTTACAGCCAATGAATTATGTTTTGTTTGTCTTTCATTGTATTACACGGTAGACAGCCGTTATGTCTCAACATAAAAATCGAGGTACATTTTCGAAGCAAATAATTTAGGTAATGTCGTCTTGCTCTTCTGTAGAATGCTTAGGGAAAAGGGGGGGGGGGGACATTATTGGTCAAAGTAGCTACTGTTTATTAAAGTAGTCGGCGTCTGTGGCCTAGGCGTTGCGAACGCGCTTCGTAATGTCGGGGTGCCGGGTTCGATCCCAGCTGCAGATGATTTGTCTTGCGTTGGTTTTGACAGTGGTACCGAGCGCTGACAGTTTAGAAAGCAATGGCTTATTACTGTAAAGGATACGTAACTAAAACTATAGTTTCAAAAAGCGCTGTGTTATTTTCTATTTTGTTGTTGTTTGCAAAGAAATATTGAAGTAAGGAAAGTAAGTAAAAGATTCTTTGACGCCTTCGGGTTTTATTGGGCATATTGCAACAGATCTATTTTTTATAGACGACTCGGCGCTTGGTGGGTGATGTAGTCATAACATAACATAACATAACATAACCCTTGACCTATTAGGGTCGTGGAGGTGTATTGATGGAAGCGCTAGCACATAAAACCCGCCATCTTTCTCTGTCTTCTGCTTGATGAATAAGGGTATGATACCTTAGTCCTGTCTATTTATTGATGTTGTCATTCCAGGGGTTCTTTGCCCTACTCTTCCTCGACTACCCCCCCCCCACCCCCAATGTTCCTTAAAGTACTGTCTTTGCAATCAAAGCATGTCTCACCACGTGCCCAAACCAAGCTAGGTTGTGACGTTTCACCACTACCAAGAGAGGCTCCTAATGTGTCGCAAATTTGTATATTTTGTCTCCGACATATTTCTTAGTTTTGTGTTCGAAATAACTTATTCATAAAATGTCCTCAACATCACGTCGGTCGTATTTACTTCTTTGTCTTCACCTGGTAGCGACTCAAGGCTGGTTCTAACTCAGAGCCGAGGTCATTTTTGAAAAAAAGGTCGGACATCGTCAGTACCCAAACCAAGTTAGCAGTTATTATTTTGTTAAGTCAACGCCATAGTTTCTCTATGTTGTTAAACAAAATTAAACTGGATGATGCTGCAGTGACAAGAGGTCCACAGGAGAACATGCTGCTTCTTTTTTAGTGTTTCATCTGATTCACCAGAGATGATTAAGGTAAAGGTAAAGTCGGGATATGTGAACCAGCGTCACTGCACACGGTTATAAATCATAAGTGTTCTGCCAACAGTACGGACAGCTGATAAGAAATTGTTCACCTGTGTTGCTGTCGGCACGTAACTCCGTAGCTACAGCGACGTTCCTCCATTTACCGCAGAGTGTCAACTCTGGTACCAATTTTCTACAGGCTGGGTGAACCCCGGGAACTGCACGGGTCGAACACCGAGAGTCGTAGCTGGATTTGAAAGCGAGTCTCCTATCGACTGCGTTAACGCGGCTTCTAGAGATCTCAGCATGTAGAACTGTATGTGTTTATCGATTGTTATTGCTTGCACTAGTGAGCGAGCATCTGTCAGTACCAGTATAAGTACTTTCCACTCAAGACCGCATTCACTAACACAGACACTGCTTTACCCAGCAGCATTAATCCAGCTTTTTAAACGCAGGAGTGTTGTCCTGTATGGAGACTTCACTCTTTTACGCAATCACTGGCCCATTCAGTATGGATTCTACCTATATAATCCTTTACAATTGCCTTTCCTGAGCTCCCATGAACACATCTGTCTGTTTAAATGGTGAACAAAATCATGAGAGATAGCTTCAGGAGTGACACAATAATGGCCGCCTAAGAACCCAGAAACAGATCAAATACAAATGTACTTCTTGAATAAAATACACGTTAAAAAACGGAAGAAAAAACATATTAGAGAAATAGATAGTTAGAAAAGTGGAAGAGGGAGAAACAAAGAAGAGGGGAGAGAAAGATCAAAGAGATAAGAGAAGAAAGGGGTTAGCAAGTGATAGAGAAAAAGAGAGAGAAAAGAGTGAGCAGAAGAGAAAATAGAGTACAGGAACAAACTAATGAGTATTTTAATCTCATTTATGAGATAATTTAAAAAAACTGAAAATTAACAAACAATAAAGCACACGTGCCCATTAATTGGGAGAATTTAATGAGGGTGTATTTCAGGCTTCGGGTAGTTAACCTGTGTTTATGTCAAATGTCCGCGAAATGAAAATAGACATGCATGACGTCGCCCATGTAAGACAAAAGACCTAGAATAGACTGGAAGGATGTGGAATATGAGGAGGAGTGATGGGCATATCTTAACTATATGTTGTATTAATTACGATTCTTAGTGTAAGTCAAGATACTACACGTATGTTTTTGTTTCCATGATTACATGTGACGATCAGTCCATGAAGTATACATTGTGTTAGACTCGGCCAGATGGGAACGTGGTGGAGAACGAGGTGGAGAACGAGGTGGAGAACGATGTGGAGAACGAGGTGGGGATGAAGTGGAGAATAAGCTGAAACAGGCAGACAACAGGCAAGGAAGAGTTGGACAAGCTTGACAGTTCCTCACGGCTGTCAGAGGCTTATAAGTTGAGTTAACCCCTTTATGTTAACCTTTTATCATCATTATCATACCACTCTAAACCCCGAGCTGTTTGTCTCGCTGAAGCGTATCACTTTCATTAACCAGTCACTGTTTGTGTAAATCAACAAACTGGGAATTTCATTGTAGTAAATAAAGCTGTATGTCAAGTTTTAAACTACATAGTTTGTTAAATTCCAAATGTCTGTTCTTACATGTTTAATTAAACTGTTAGGATAGAATAACATTTGGTGTGGGCTTAAAAAATATAATAATTCTTTAATTATTAATAATAACACCGGGAGAAGGTAGATGACGGAGGAATCACTTGCCCTGTCTAATAATTCATTTAGTATGATAGACATCTAAAATTCCTTGCTTTCTCTTGTGGGTACCAAGTTCAGCTAATGTTAATATACTTAACGAGCCAATATGGCTGTTTTCTTGGGTATCCAGGACTTTGTCTGAGAGCAACATAGCTCAGATTTTAGTTCGGTTTATCTGGTGGAGAGAATGTGTTGAAAGGAAGATCCCTACTCAACATTATAAACAATTAATCCACGCGTCACGTCACAGTAGTAGTAGTAGTAGTAGTAGTAGTAGTAGTAGTAGTAGTAGTAGTAGTAGTAGTAGTAGTAGTAGTAGTAATAGTAGTAGTAGCAGTAGTAGTAGTAGTAGTAGTAGTAGTAGTAGTAGTAGTAGTAGTAGTAGTAGTAGTAGTAGTAATAGTAGTAGCAGTAGTAGTAGTAGTAGTAGTAGTAGTAGTAGTAGTAGTAGTAGTAGTAGTAGTAGTAGTAGTAGTAGTAGTAGTAGTAGTAGTAGTAGTAGTAGTAGTAGTAGTAGTAGTAGTAGTAGTAGTAGTAGTAGTAGTAGTAGTAGTAGTAGTAGTAGTAGTAGTAGTAGTGATGTCTAAAGAGAGAGCATTTAAGTGTACAAACCATTTAATGTGACTAGTCCTATGGATCAATGGTAATTATAATGGTAGCATTGTTGTTGCTGTGTTTGTAAAAGGACAAGGAGGAAAAAAACAGGAATATTAGGATCATTGTAATTCATATAGAATTCCTGGAAATAACATAAGAATAGTAATAATAATAATAATATTAATAAACCTGATGTGTGTTCCGAAGAAATGGCTTCGGGGGAAAGCTCCAGGCAGAGATGGAGTGCCTGCTTAGATCATCAGGAGTTAGAAAGTCATTCTTACCAGACACATTCATCAGCTCATAGCACTCTGTTGGCAAGAGAGGCAGGTTCCGCAAGACTTCAAAGACTCACATATCATAACTATATACAAGAACAAGGGTGATCGGAGTGACTGCAATTAATACAGGGGAATATCACTACTGTGTACTGTTGGAAAATTATTTGCGAGAATTGTTCTGCGAAGACTCCAGATCCTAGGAGACCAGGTTTACCCAGAGTCACAATTTGACTTTCATGGGAAGCGATCTACCACTGATATGGTTTATTCCTTACGTGAGCTGCTGGGAAAATGCCGTAAACAAAATCAACCACTGTATGTTGCTTTTACTGACCTTACCAAGTCATTTGATTTGGTCAGTCGAAAAAGTCTGTTCAACACGTTGAAGAACATTAGGTGTCCACCTACCTTACTGAGCGTTGTTAAGTCGTTCCATACAGGAATGAAAGATACAATCAACTTTGATGGTGTAACATTGGAAGAGTTTCTAATTAATAATGGGATGAAGCAGAGATGTGTACTTGCCCCTACCAACTTTGGAATATATTTCTCACCTCTTTTGGAACATGTCTTTCGAGATCACGAGGGTGGTATTTTCATCTATGCACAGTCTGGCTGCATCCTTCACAATGCTCGTAGGCTAAAGGCCAAAACCAGGAAAGATAGGTATTTATCAGACAGCTCCTGTTTGCAGGTGTTGCAGCAATTACCACCCACTTAAAGGAGGAGCTGCAATGTTTATTATCTATATTTGCTTATGAATGCTGTGAATTTGGACTAACAATCAGCAAAAAGAAAGACAAAGCTTATGGTGAAAGGTGTTAATGGTATACCTACAGTCTACATTGATGGCAAAGAGCTGAAGACAGTTGACCATTTTATCTATCTGGGTTCCACAGTAAAAAACAAACTATCTCTGGATCAAGAAATCAACATCAGTATAGAAATGGCAGCAACAATGATGATAAGAACAAAAAGAATTTAGGACAACAGAAAGCTCACGATTAAAACAAAAATTATAGTCTATCATTCTTGTGTTCTCAGCACTCTGCTTTATGGCAGTAAAACTTGATCAACATATTTGCACCAGGAGAGACGGCTAAAAAGCCTTCACATGCGATGTCTAAGAAGAATACTTGGCATTAAGTGGCAGGACAAGATTGCTGTAATGCGGGATATTTTCACCCTGATTAGGAAGGTTGGGGGGAAAGCCCAAGAATAACAAGAATACAGAGAGAAGCCAGATACTCGGATTAACGGAGGTTTTCAAGATAGGTGATGACCACGAGTTATCAAGTGGAACCAGATGATAGCGACCACAGGTCGCCACGTGGAAGTAAAGGACAACCACGTGTTGCCACGTGAAACGAACACTGGGTATAAGTACAGATCCTAGTCTGATCAAGTTAGTATGTGTTGACTGTCGGAGGGAAAGGATGAGAGAGTGATCGAGAGAATGACAACGTGAGATTAATTGCTGCGAGAGGAAGAGCAGACGACGATCTCCATTGAAGCCAAGACCAGCCAGTCAGTTCTATATGAAGTCGAGGAGAAGAACCAGATACATCTGTGCGAACTCTGGTCAGTGACTGTGTGAGAAACCAGCATGTTGGAGTCTGAGTAATGTGGTGTGTGAAAGCTGTTTTCTTAGGACAAGGACCGGACATTTATGTAAGTGATAAGATGTCAATAAGCTGATGTATCGTACTGCTAAGTCGGTGTCGGCTTGTCCCAGTTATGTCACCATAAGAATGTGTGCTGAGAGCATTCACTATACACATCATCTCCTAGACAACGATTCATTGCAACACGGCTCATTGCAATCACAATCACTGAGGTATATTGGAAAGAGCAGGTATTACAACAGTCTTCTCAATACTCAGCCTATGAAGGCTTAGGTGGCTGGGTCACACCTAGAGAATATAGGATGGCAGCGTCCCTAAGGACATACTTTATGGTGAAGTAAAGACGGGTGGAAGATGTCGAGGTTGACCTTAGATATAAAGACGTGTGCAAGCGATACATAAATGGTACAGATATTGACGTGGACTCGTGGGGGAAAAAATGTCATGGACCGTGTTGTATGGAGGGGCACATCAGGAAAAGAATGAAAATGAAGGAAAAAACAATCGCAGGAAGAATTAAAGCTTAGCGTCTAAGAACAAATAGATCAAATACAAATTCTGACAACAGTGGTCCTGAAATCCATTGCTAAAATTGTGAAAGACTTTTCTTAACGTGGGCCAGTCTTGCTAGTCACTCTTGCCATCGTCATGGGCGATGCATCCTCATAGCGCAATATAACACTATCATCTGGAAAGACGAAAAGTGTCATACTTCCAGCGGAGCAACTGATTATTTCAGTGTTGGAGTAAGGTTTGGGTCTGCTCTTGTTGTCTAAGTGCCAAAGTGAGAAGCTAGAACGCATGCAAAACGAAACCATGCAAATCACTTTTGGGATTACACGGGACACGCCAATTGTATGCATGCGGCACATACTTACATTTCCGTCCATAGATAAGACGAAAATGTACCTTAAAGTCGCAACTTATTAGGAACACTGTCTAAATGGGGGACAGCAAGGGGCATCGGCTGAAAGGCGGTAGGTCCTGGATGGTACAGGCACAAGTCACGATCAGAACTTTTTGTGCTCCTGACAAGATAGCACATGGTGAGGAATGGGTTACAGTACCACCCAGCAAAACAGATTTGCCCAAAGTGATAGTTACATTGGACAGAGAGTGCCGAGAGTGGATAGTTAGTGAAACAGAGGCATCAGTGGAAGCGCTGATCAATGAAAATTCACACCCAGGAGACATCGTTTTGTACACAGGTGGGTCTGTAGTTAGAGGTAAAAAAAAAAAAGAGTTGGTAGGGATTTATTGCAATGGTAAATGGGAAAATGTTTGAAAGCAGAGAGCCTCACGTATAACGTCACAACATCCTTTATAAGAATGGAGGTGGAGAAGGTACCGGCAGCTTTCCGGTAGCTTGGGAGCAGCAAAGCATAACATGTGGTCATTGTAACGAACTCGTAGAGCATGTCGCTAAAAAAAAAAAAAAAAAAAAAAAAAACCGACGTCCTAAGCATAGAGTGGCTTGCTTCGCTTGATAAGACTCTGATCAGGAGTTGAAGTTTTCTATAGGACTTTCAAGTGTGCCAGGCAACGAGCAAGCTTATAGATTGGATGCTACCGCTCGTATGGGTGGTGAGCTACGTTATGATGAAGCGGAAGTGCTGAAAGCTCTTTGGGAATCACGTGAACAGTGCAACAGAACAGGCTAAGTATCCATACGTTGACAGACAGCTAGGGGGTGAGCAAGGGGTCAGGAAGATATTTAACACTGCAGGGAAAACAAATAAGGACTCTTAATCAGATTGCAACAGGTACTGTTAGTATTTTGACTCTTCATTGGCTACTCAAGAAGGAGACAAAGCAGGGTTAGGATTAGAATTATGTGCCTCTGAGGTGGTCAGGGTTGACAAACATCCTCACTTTAACCTTATCATAAACCCGTAACACCCTTAGAATAATGGACTTTCCAGGAACTGTGGATTTCCTTTGTTATGAGTGAATCAAAAACAAAGTACTGGAGTTTGTTTTTAATCCCGCCTAACCAGGTTTTATTTATTTAGAAGAGACTTGAGCCCCTCCCCCACTTCTAATTAATTACTGGGTGGGATGCTGCCTGCCATGTGACGGCGAGCCACTCTGCATGTCAGCCTAAGTGTGCCATATTTTAACACAATAATAATTGGTACAAAATCAATTCATTTTCTAAAGAACTATATGCTTCTAATTATTTGTGTAACGAAATCATACGTATATAATATGTCTCAATACCCACAGTGTGCTAATTAAAATCGTTCCACATATCAGACTTGGCATGCAGGAACTAGGTTATCAACGCTTACACCTACACTAGACTAAAGGAAATTGACACGAACAACTTCTTTCTGTATTTTTTTTAGGACCCACTTGCTCGATGTAATATTTAATCATCATCATCAATTTAGACTTCTGAAGTTAAGAGTTGTAGGGAGGAACAATTTGCGATCCATTTCTTGATGGGCAGCAACGGCTATCGTCAGTCCATGACGATGTAGAAGATCTTTAATGCCATCAGTCCATTGCCTCTTAGGACAGACTCTTGATTTCACTTCAGGTCTTTTCATTTGTAGCTACCCTTTTTATCTGTCCATGCTGATCTGACCATACTTATACAAAACCTCAAATTTCCAGTTTCCACATAATTTCTCGCAAATCTACTGATTTCCCTCTACGAATAGGCTCATTAAAAATGAAAGAATGAAAACATCCGTTACTGAAATCGATATATAAAACAAACTTCATCTAAAACATATTACGCGTGCCTCGGGTTACTGGCAGACGGGATTCATTTCTTTTATTTCTGCTTCGTCACTCTTGTTATTCCCTTTCTCTGAAGTTCATCTACCTTTCCATCCGCTGTCATCTACATTCTCACATTTTCACCATTCTGTCACTCTGTGGAGCTTATTTTGTCCTTTTTTTTTTTTTAATTCCTTTTCTTTTTAAGTTTATTTTCTTTCTGTCGCCTCTCTTTCGCTAGATACCTCTCTGCTTTTCTTCTTCATTTTCTTCCCTGTCACCGCCTTCTTCCCTTCCCCTTTTCATACTTTCAGCTTACTTCTCTCCATTTCTGCTCGTATTCTACTTGTAAACGTGTTTCGTAATTCTGGGGTGCAGCGTTCGTACCAATTGCGGGCGATTTGGCATCCGAACGTCTTGCGCTTGTTTTGAAAGTGGTACCGATAGCTGATAGTTCAGTAGTATGACAAACTACTGAAAGTAAAATTTGAGAAAAACCACAACAGCCCAAAAATGCAAGTGTTTGTTCTCCAGAAGTGTTAAAATACTACATCCTGACAACTATTTAAGATTATTATTCGACTGAGCAAATCACAATTGATCACTGGCATCATTAGGGTTAGTAGACTGAAATTGCTGGGGCATATCGAGAAAATGTCAATTAAAGAGGGGTAAAAATTGTGTGGACACAAGGGAACTGAATGGTCGATTTATAAAGACTAAAAGATGCTATTCATAAAATGCCAAGAGATG